CTTTATCAGTTTGATGAGCATGTGTAGTATAAAAGAATCATTCATACATACTCTTTGATTTAAGTGGAGATTTTTTTTTTCGAAATCTTTTTATTTTGATGTTTCAACTATTCGGCTAATTCTTGTGATTGTTTGATGTAGGAGGAGAGTGGTAGTACTGAAGAAAATGATGCCATGATCCATGAAAGGCTTCTTAGCGCAGACTCTGGAGACTATGGGAAAGTCAATCCAGCGCCAAAACTTGCAAAGCCTCCTTTCAAGGTCATCCAAAACTAATTACTCATGCTTCCATACATTTAAATAAATGAAGAAAATTATGGAATATATAATAAGTCATGATAACTTATTTCCGTGTAAGTTCTACATGAATTATAAGTTATTGATTTCATAAATCCAACGGTTGAAATAATGATGCTATATCTAGTAACATATATCAATTGTTGAATTTAAAATTCAACTACTGAAAATTTATGTAAAATTTACATTTGCATGAGTCATATGTAATATATATGTTGCATGTATACATATTTATATAGCTCTCCTTAGTTTCAAGAAAATTATACTAGTCCTTTTTCTCATGTATGTTGTGAACTTTCTTCTTCTTCCTTTTTGGATATGAAGTACCTTAATTGCATCTAACTTTGTGGTTGAAAAACTATATAAAGTACAGTAGCTGTTGTGGCCTGGCTTCTTCTACATTTTGTTTTTAATGTTATGTGTGTGTGCTTGAAAATTACTCTTATATCCGAGATTTCAATTCATTGTAAATATTAGATTTGCTATATATATTTTATGCCTGTAATTATCCTGACCGATGCTGTAAACACGGTATAATTGTATAGAAATTTTCACGAAAACATGAGTTTTTTTCCATGGATTTTTTCCTTTTCTCTTAAGGAAGAGAGAAGAAGTATGCAAAAGAATTTTAGTATGAGCCTACCATTTTGCAGTTTGAACTGCATATAACTACAAAATAAAAATTATTAAATAAGAGAATAATCCTAAATATTAAAGGTAGATTAGATAACACTTTTTTGTTTTAAGTTTTTTCTTAGTTTTTTATAAACAATTATTAACCGTTACTTTCCATTACTTCTAATCAAATAAATTAGATACTATAAATTATAAACAATAATAATTATTAATAATTAAATATCAATTATAAATTATATTTTAACATCTAATTCAAACAATTCCTTAATGTTTTGGATTATATATTTTTTTTTGGACTCAAGCCGTCAAACTTATTGTTGGGTCTGAAAAGAAATGGGCCAGGCCACGGCTGTTTGGAATCTAAATTGAAAGGGAAAATGGGCTATACGGGCTATGACATTAGTGCCACCACTAGCCCAAGGTTCAACCCGTCTTTTGAGGGTCTGAGGTTCAACTCCTTTATTTTTGCTTTTGGATAACAAATTTATAATTCCGCCCTTAAGTATGAAAAAATTTCAAATTAGTCCAACATTTCTTGAAAATGACAATGTCCCTCCCTTCTACTTCTCCGTTTTTTAGATGTGCGAACTTTATTCCTTTTATGTTAATACAGAAATTTTATCAACCCTACTAGTCATAGCCTTTTGTTTGGCCTTTTGTCTTTAAGAGGTGTTTGATTCATCGGTTCAATTATAGAGAATGATAGATAACTAATATTCAATTGCTAATAATTCAAACAAATTGTTATTTTGATTCTAGTAGTCATTATTTAGGAAAAGAATTAAATTCATGATGCCCCACAAAAAGTCACAGGACCAATCAAAGGCTAATCATGTGGAGACCAAAATCCATGTCTCTTCTTAGAAAAGAAAGCGGCATTTTTGCGAAGCCTTGCATTTACACCATCTAGTCTAGCTGACTCACCTAATCCCCATATCCCCATCCCCATTGATTTTGATGTTTGAATTGTTTATATCCAAACCTCACACGCAAACTATAATAAAATGTATGCTAATGAAAAAACCTCTCCCAAAACTATTTGTTGTAACCAATTGATTTGATGATTTAGATGACATGCATGCTTGGCCAAATGGGATGGTGTGTTTGGTCCCCAAATAGCAATTTATCTTATCTTCTTTTGATTCCACTCAAATTCAAGAAAGTTAAACCACATCCACCTCCTTCCTAATTATGTTTTTGTTTTTTTTCTTTCCTATTGGACCATGAATTAATTTCTATATGGTCAACTTAATTCGTTTGTGTGTTTTTCAACTAAAATCAAATCATTCATGTCAATACAATAAGTTTCTACAAGAATTTAGAAAAATTTACTTTAATAATTTTTGTTTGCTTCTCAAAAATGGGGTCACTATGTCTCTGTCGCTAGCAAAATATAGGTTGCTAAAGTCAAGCAGCGGCATTTTTCATTTCTCATTTTTGTATTTATTTTGGATTTTTTTTTCATTTATTAATGTATTCCACTCATATGTTATACAACTTAAATTTAAAACTTCTTATTTTAAATAAAATAAAATTACTATTAATCTATTTAAACCATTAAACATTTTTCATGTTACTAGTTAAAGCATATACAAAGGGTTGCCATATTGGTACCTTTGTGCGCACACACAATTAAAAAGGAAAAATGGTTGGCCGTTTACGTGCACATCTCAACGTCTAAGTTTGATACGGAGCATCAACCACCCAACAAATGGTCTTATTGCCCCAGGCTTTTGCATTGCAATTGACATGGTAGAGAGGTTACAACTTACCACAAAATTATAATAGAAAATAACGTGCAATTTGTCTTACAAAGAAGATGGTATATTTTATAATTAATAATAAAAGTGAATTTTTTAATATTTGAGTAGTTTTCTCTTTTTTTCTTTTTTCTTTTAAACAAAGGTAATTATTTACAACTACTACTGGAAAGGTGAGAAAAAAAAAACTGAGAGTTGAAACTCGAACGTCCCAACTTTGTTTTTTTTTTTTTTCATTATTAATTATAAAATATACATTTTATGTATATAAATTATGAAACAATTATCTCAAATATAATTTAAACGAAGTCCCTTTGCTTTTCAAAGCTCAACAACCACCGTGAAAAATGAGGTTGGTCCTCTTGCTCCAGCTGCTTCGAAATTGTTAAGCAGCTTCTTAT